GAGAACTAACATGTGTGTAACCACAATACATGTCCGGGTGAAGCATAACATAGTTCCGCCTTACTCAACACCTCCCCTCTTTAGTCAGAACCTTCCCACATGCTTTTAAATTTCAAATCAATGTCAAAACTCACATTAGACATTTTTAAACACTTGTAAACAGTTTTCTTTTGTGAACACTTCTGTAACATTCCTATTTTGAACAAAACAGTACGGTACATTCACTTGTACCATAGCACATTTCTACAAGTCTAAGCGCTTGGGAGGACGGGACACACGTCCTGAGGATGTTATATACGGGGCTGTGTCCTGTATGTTATCATTATGTGTGCTTTTATCATTACATGTGTATGTCTCCGCACTAGTAGATTCACCTGTTGACTCTGCAGATGCTGGTAAACATAATGGTCTCACATGAGCACGATTACGCCTGATTTGTCCCTCGTCAGTGTTGATAACATATGACCTTGGTGTAGTTGCTTTGTGTACAACTGTCCCTTCTTTGTTCTCTCTTGGGAGCCACACATTCTGACCGGTCTGCAGACAGGGTAATGGCCTGGTCCTGTAGCGCCGATCGTAGCGTCGTTGTTGGTTTGATTTGTTCCGTCTCTGATTGTCTCTAAAGTTTTTTATGTTTGGCCACCGTGGTGAGAGGGTGACTGGACGCTGTGGCAGTGTTGTTCTTAATTGCCCATCAGAAGCTGTGCGGGAGAATAGCCGCACTCGAGAGGAGTAGCCCGGTATGCTAGAAGTGCTTTTGTCTTTTCACCTCCTCCTTTCCACAGTCCTTTTACAGTGGCTACCGCTCTTTCAGCTTCGCCATTTGCCTGTGGATACCGAGGGCTACTGGTAGTGTGAACGAACCCATACTCTGCAGCAAAGTCTTTAAATAAATCACTGCTGTATTGGGGCCCATTGTCCGATACTACCACCTCGGCAATTCCATGGCGACTAAATGTCTCCTTGATGGCCGCTATGACTGTAGCAGACGATGGAGCATTCAGTTTTGCCACTTCAATATACCTCGAGATGTATTCCACAATCAGAATGAAAGTCTCTTTCTCCCAGAAAAACACATCAGTCCCTACCCTCT